TTATATTATAAATAACTAAAACAACATTAACCATCTTACCTGTTAGTACATCATGCTCATACTTTACAGAAATATATGTATCATAATCCACATTCCTAAACTTGGCTTCACATCCAGCTAACTGGGTATGGGTACCATCACGGTCATGATCATAATGTAAAGTTCCATTATTTATCATTGCTGATATGTAAGGATGCTGGTGCTAAAGATAAAAAGGTAAAATCTAAAGTTGTAATCAATTTTTTTAAAAAATTTAACCAAATTCTTAAAAATTCAAAAGTAATGGCAATATTCTAGTATCAAATTTTAAAGTAAGAAAAAATGGTTTCACACCACAAATGAACAAGAAAAAATACAATGTGAGGAGTAAAAATTTCTTACATTATGTGGTCCATTGTGATTGCTGTATGTGTCTAATATAACTGCTAGCCCATGGAACAAATCTGTGCTACCAAAAACTATTCCTGGTTGCATTCTATCTTTAGAGTACCAGACTGCAAAGCCATCTCCAAAAAGATCTTTTCCTTTACCGTGAACTTTAAATTGGACTTGCAAATCCCAATTTCTAACAGAAACTGGCTGTAAAAATGATTAGTTTTTTTAGTATGAACATATTTCTTCCAAATATGGTACTTTACTTTGTTATTGGTCAGTCTGCTCTAAACCAAAAAAGTAACAAAATTTGAAGTGTACACTCCTAATTTATAAGGTCAAATGTATTTTTAACTTTATAGAGGTCACTTGTAAAAAATTTTTGCTTGCAACCTTGACTGTATGGAGTACTTCATAAAAATGACCAAAAAATTAAGCGTTATCTAATGCATTATTTTAACAATTATTTGCCCATTTTGTAACAGGGAAATAATTGAAATGGTTCGATCTCCAGGCTAAATTAAACTTACTACAGAATTCCAGATTGCCCCCGACTTTGACTGAAGGTCCGGAGTTAACCTAATATAATTGTTAGTGACCATTGTGCTCCCAATAAAATCCCAATGAAGTATACCTGTTCCTGATCCTAAAAAGTTAACAATTGATTAATATATCTACAAAAAAAGATGCAATCGTGCCTTGATATGGTTTTATTAACGAATGCTCCCTCTTCATATATTCGTTTGTATTCCATTGTGCCTTTATTAAATCGAAGAACATTAACGAAAAAAAGCCTACAAACACCGTAACTTCCGACAGCTGCATTTTGAAGCAAGTATATTGTTTTCAATTATTTTAATTGTAGTTTTAGACTTATTTATACTGGGCACACGTTATTACAATGTTGTACTTATACAGCAACAACATGAGATAGCTGATAACTGCTTAAGCCAATTATAATTTGACAGGAAGCATCAAACTGGAAAAGCAGGCAACACACATAACAGCACGGTTAAGGATTATCTAAGCTGCAGGTCTATAAAATTCTTTAAATAAGCATAGATAATAATATTGGTCTTAAACCTTAAATTTAATATACATCATTCGTAATAAACAACATGATTTGNCCATTTGTTTAATAATAAATTTTAATTAATAGGCCCTTGGAAATTTCTACTTTTTCCATGAATCAGTAAAGGACATTTTAATATGGAATTTTAAGGACCTGCAGTTTGAACCGGTTGAAGACAAGGAGATACATTCAGGAAATATTGAATCTGTTGCTACCAAGGAAAAGGCCAAATTTCCACAAGATTTCTTTCCTGAGGTAATTATACATATTTAATCGCTTTCTTTTACAAAGAATGAAAAAATACTTCTGTAAAAAGTGGAAACCTCACATAGAAATTAAATTAAAAGCTTTATTTTTCATTTGAGTTGGTATAGGTATTTAAAATAATATGATTTACAGTGTAAATGGTCAAGAAAAGGCTTTTTAAGGACAAGATGGTCAATTAGTGGAACAGTTGTAGATTTGGTAAATATTCATTTGTTCCATGATGCTTCAAACTTTATTGCAATGGAAGCGTTTCCATCAGTCTATTGTCAAAATAGACGCAGAGCTTTAGAGCACACTCTGCAGCGCTTCCATAATGACATACATGGACGAGCACCTTACTTTCTTTTTGGAGACTTCAATTTTCGAACAGATACAGATGGAGTTATAAAGGTAAAATAGAATCTATTTTATCGTTTTTCCTCTCTTATTTGTTCTAATGATGCAAACCTTAATATAAATGAGGAGTGGGCCCTAAGGATGATAAGTAAAATTAAATATATCTTATAATGAAAAAATATATTTTATTTAACTTCAACACAGAAATTATGTCAACTTAAATAAGTAGAGATAAAATTAAGTTAAATTAAAGAAACAAACAGCAACTACCTATGTTTTATTCCTTTTGGATGTACAGGGGTTATTAAAAAGATACAGAATAACACTACATCAGTCTCATCTCTCAACAAACAAGTAAATTGGAAATGAAATTAAAATATTTGTTATTATAATAGCTAATAGTTTTTAAAACTGTACTGTTATGATCCATTTGAGACAGATAATTAAGAAAATCTTTTGGCTTTCAGTTATTTTTTAACGTTTGCAAACGAATATTTGTAGAAAATCCTGTGTAATGTTTGCGAGATCGGAGCATTGCTTTTAACGGTGAGACATTTATTTAAGGATGCCACCCATTTAGTGATAATGTTTATTTAGACATACCATCTGGCTTTTAACATAAAACACATAAAGTGTGTAATTGCTTTCCTGGGAAATTGCCAGCATTTTTAATAACCATTTATCTTTCTTTTTGCGTGGTTCTTTCAAAGGAAGTGGTAATATGATTAAATTTTACGTCATCAAGTTCCTAATTATCGTTTTGTTTGTTGTATTATTTTAAATTTTAACTTAATTAATCAGTTAATTTGTCCTTGAATTAAAAAAACCTAAAATATATAAACTCATTAAATTGAGATGCATTTTTTATTCTTTTAAGTAATTTGCTTGCTTTTTCCTGTCACCAAGAGGATCCTAATTCAAAGGAAATAAGAATAGTCTCTTTTGTCTCCAGAAATCGTTTGTAATTAATTCTTTTATTTATTGTAGAAATTGACGGAGGGGTTAAACAGTACAAAAGTTCCAAATGCTATAAATATGGATTTTACAAAACTTCAGTTCACAGATGAAAACAGTCAGCTTATTTTAACAGTAGGAAAAAAAGAATTCAACCACTGTGATCATCAAAAAGTTTTTTTAAAGGATGACAGTACTTGGGTAAAACATTAATTCTTTCTTTGCTTTTCTTTCAAATTTACACTGCAACAAAAATATAATTATCGTTAAATTTCCAACAGGCGTCATTTTGTACTGTTATTGTATTTTTCCCAAGTAGTTAAAAGAACTGGACAGAGAAGTGGAAGCTTTTGATAGCCATTTGACTGAATTCTTGGTCACATTTCCACCATCGTATCCTTTCGAGGAAAAAGTTCTTCAAGGGACACAGTATATGCTGACGAGATGTCCCGCATGGTGTGATAGGGTTCTTCTAAGTCATACTGCCAAGAAGCTTATAGCAGACGAGAAAAAGGTTGAATATGGTCTCATAGGATGGAACACTTGTATGGGTGATCATAAGGTATGGCATTTTCCTTTGCTTATTTAAATCAAGAAATAGTTTTTTTATTATTTACAAGGCAATAGTTTATAGATTTTATACAGGATGTCCCACGACGATCTTTATACAGATAAGTATAAAGAAACAAAAAAATTAAAAAAATAAAAGTCTGCATAAAGTTGTTATTTTAAACTGTGTTTGTATCTCAAATATTTCTGATTTGAGGTCACTGCCAATTATGCCAAAAGAAAGTACAAAATCGCTTATTTAAAATATATAGTTTCAATTTCTAATTGCAGAAAGAAATTTTTCAAATAATTTTGGAGGTAATGTTATTACTACTAAAATCTGATGTAGTATTTTAGTTGGATAAACAACAGTCCCAATTAATAACTTAGTTTTATATTTCTAATGATTGTAAAGAAATCCTGAGACATCCTGCAATAGTTTTTCTAGTCATCTTTTTTTCTGAGAGTTAAATTTTTTTTTAATTAACGCAGCCTGTGTATTTGGGATTTGAAATATTAATAGCAGATTAAGGTATTTATATTCCCTCAGTCGTTGTTTATATTATTTATTTTCAACCCCTATAGATAAAAACTACCATTTTTTTACTTTATTGTGATTAAATTATTTTACAGCCAGTGTACTTACTACTAGACATCAAGGAGAATTCAGGTACATTAAAGTGTTGCATGCACACGCCCTTCCAATGCTTGCCTGAGCTCTGCCAGTGTTGCCAGTTGTTTGCTTCTGTGTCGATAAATGTTATCGATATGAGCGATTATTTGGTAGGCGCAAAAATGACCCGCGTAGCTTCGACACAGCAGCGACAGCCGCCTGTTATCAGTTCGAATTTTTTGCACGAACCAATAACGCGTGACATGCTCACGCATGATCCTTACACCCCCGAAAGTACCGACTCCCATTCACCCATTCCTATGACCGAAAACAAATCCAAAATACGCTCGGGATCGGTTTCTCCCGAGGAGCTAATGCGGAAACTTGAGAATATCCTATCTACCGATAAGAGTACCGAAAAGACGGGAAATTTCCGAAAACGTGCGATGACCGAAATAACAAGAAAAGCGACAAGGGTGAGACTCGGCTCACAGGGTAGCGCTCATTCGTTGAATCGAATGAATAGTCATCATAGCTCGAGTGACGAAGACTGGTTCGAATTTGACGAAATTGTCGAGTCGAGACGCGGTAGTTGCAGGGATGAAAAGTTTACAAAAGCAGAAGAAAGGGTTGATTTGATTTACGACTCGGGTCCGGTGGTTAAAGATGATATTACACATGTTATTAAAATTGAAGAAATGTCTACGGACGATAAGAAAACTAACGTTGGAAGTAATAACGATCTAAATACTAAAAAAAGTAAAAGGAAAAGGTTTAGGGGGGCGAATATTAAGTTTAAAAAACGGGTAGTTTGTTGCATTTTGATGTAGTAGTTTGTTGTGCGTAAAAAAGTAGCTGAATAACGTAAATTGAACTAGTCGTTTTAGTCCGGTCTGTGTAGTCCTAGAAAAAAGAGAAGATAGGAAGAAATTTATTAATCACTGCACTAAATTTATTTGGAAGGTTAAAATATTATTTTGGTAGTAGGTTTTCAGACTAAGAAAGACAAAAAATTCAGTAAAAAATCGCAACGTATTATTATTAATAACATGAAAACTTATTATTGTAAAGACTTTAATTTATTAAAATTTATATGAAGCCTATATATGCATATGTTTGAAATAGTTTTTATTTACAGAAAAACCCAGTCTTATATTTTTTTCCTGGCTACACACTGCACACATTAGATTAGACCGATTTATATTGTTTGTTATGCGTAGTTGTCCGTATTATTTTGCTTCGTATTTTATTTTTGAGTTTGCATAGACTTGTACCGTTGTTGCATGGTTTGAATTTTGATGTTTTACTGATAATGAAAGAGAAAAAAAAAACATTTTCTTCATCAGGGTGCATTAGTGGGGCTAACGGAATAAATAATTCGAACAGTAAAACGTTAGTTAAGGATGACAAAGCATTGCCTGAATCCCTATCAAGATATATTTACGTGTCCAACTTGAATAAACCGATTAAAGTGTTTAGGGAAACCACTGTTTAAAATTTTAATGTAANTCATTTCTTTCAATATTGCATATTCTAAGTCTGCATAGCCTCTGCCCTTCCCAATTCTCTGGCCTGAAACAAATAGTCATTATTTTTTAATCAACTTATTGCTAAAATATTAATGATATGCCACCTAATTTTGATACTGCCACACTTCCCACAACCAGTAAATCTAGGTTTATTTTGTCATCAATATTTATTAATTTTCCTTTTTCATCTAATCCCCTACGACTGACTGCACTTCGTATTTGAGGTTTGGAAGCATTTTCTGGCACAGTAATATGCTTAAGAAGACCTTCTTTAAGTCTAGGCACAGGCACATAGAGAGCTTTTCCTTGTTCTAGTACTAAGATTCTAGCTGGTTCTTGTGGCTTATCAGGATTAACTTCAATAAATTTACTGTTTTGAAAAATTTCTAATTCCAATAATTTCTTTGCTGCTTCTTCACGTCCTTTAAAATTTGGTATTCTGAAATAAACTGGCCTTGGAAATATTGCTATATTGTTGTTCTCCATATATTCCCATACTTTCTTGCGAATGGTTTTTTTTGTATCATCTGGGACAATTGCTTCTACTGTTTGCATATAAAATGAGACAAAATTAGATTAATTTCAACTGCTAAATGTTTAAATAAATCGTGCAAAATTACTTAGCATAGTAAACAATTTAGTCATCATCACTCAAATTATTAAGTAATCTGTGTGGCTATTTTAAGAACAATGAACCTGCATCCTGCACGATAATTGATAAGCATATAAATAGATAACACTACCATTAACACAACAATAACATTAGTAGTTTGAAAACAATAATAAAAAAATCTATAGCTAATTGAATTTATTTAAAGCATTAAAAATGGTATGATGAATATATGTAACTTACTTTTTACGTTTGCATTTTCTTCTGCCGGTTGTTGGTTAGATTCACTCATTTCGATTCGGTTTATTGATAGCTAATTAATGAAGAATTATTTCCTGTTAATGATTTGTTGATGTTTCATTACTGTTTTGTTGCCATGATGTAATTTTACTACATTTACGTTCAAGGCCACCTAATTTATGCATAGAAATGACCCATAAGCTCTTGAACACATTACACATGTAAAACGGAAGGATATTAATAAATTAACAATAACAACTAACAAATGATTCATCAAGCAGCTGATGTATAGTGTAGTATATGATTAGCTGCGCATGAAGTTTTTAAACACGCGACTTTTTCTAATAAGAAATGAAGAATATACAGGCAATTTGAAAGCAATTTTTTTTACCGTTATAGACCTTCATGTTTTGAAAACCAATAAGTCTTAAAATTGCCATCCGTTTCACATTCCCAGAGCAGTTTTCTTCAAAATAAAAACATATTCGAGTTTAAAAATATTTACAACTTGAGGTATTCATAATTAATGAAGCACATTTTTAATGGGAACTATTTTGTAAGTGGTACTTAATAAAAGAACAATTATTTATACTATTTTAAGACTTATTTACATACTACACTAATAAAAAGTTGCTGTTTTTGCCTTTTAAAAAGTGTATTTTGAATTTAATAAACTCGTCTCAATGTTTTCCATATTTATTACAAGATTACGTTTTATTATGGTAAATGAACAAAAATTATTTTGCTTGTTAAATGTACTTTTAATTTTTTTTTTGGTCCAACAGTAATTTCACAATTTCTATGTTACATACATTACAAATAAAACATTGAAACCATTACAAGTAATCACAAGATTTCTTACACACTTTGAGAGCGAAAATGTAACTTCTCTTTTTGGCACATCTTTTTAATTCAAATGCTAAAGAAGTGTAGTACAATTTAAAAATAAAATAACCATTTATTCCTTAATTCAAGCTTATTTGTCTAACATTAATCATAAGAATATCTTATCAGCATTTTGTTTTTTATAAATTGTGAAAATTATTTCTAGAAAAGTAAAGTAAAGGAATTAAAACACTTGGCAAGTTTCAACAACATTGTGAAACTTGCCAAGTGTTTTAATTCATTTACATTACTTTTATAAAAATGTTTCACCAAGTGCCAAGCGAGTCTACAATTTCAATTAATTATTTCTAGGTTTAAAATAAATCAAATCCGGTCCACAAAATAGGAAAAAGGTAGCCCAGAAATAAAGTATTAAACTGTATACGTAGATGTAAAAAAGTATCCTTAACAATTTATTAAATTATTTATTTATCTAAAATTAATAGAGGATAACACACCTTTATATAAATGACAATAATATACAAATCAGTCAGCATTTCTTTTTTCAGAAAATATACAAGGAGCCTATCGTAATTAGGACCAAATTACATATTACTTAATCAATATAAAACGTGTAAAAAGTTACGCAAATTGCCTCATAAAAATATATTAATATACAGCCTCAAAAAAGAATCTGTCTGAAAATAACATTTACATATAGCATATCCTCATATCAACAGTATTTACCCCAATCAAATCACTTAAAAAAGAAAGCTGAACACCCTTTTCACCCTTCATTACCACAAAAATGTCCCAGAGGTCCACAATTTTTTTTTTAATTTTAATGTTTGCACAGTTTAAATTGTATCACCAACTAGTATTCACTCTCACAAAATTATCAAAAATTATGTACACTTAATAAAACCTCTTTCTGCTCTGTTCTTGTTGCTTTTGATAAAACATACATCCAAGTACCACACATGCAACAAGAGCTATACTTCCTACCAGCATGAGTAAGAAAATTTTAATACCAGACAATGAAGACGGTTTAGCATCATCAACGTGATCTCTGGGAGGCTCAAAGTATGTGGCTGAAGGCAGAATATTAGACCTGTCTTCTTTTGCTTCAGCCTATTAATTTTAAAAGTTAATGAAAGATGTTTGTAATAAAACATTACAAACTTAATCAAATAACATTAATAATGCAAAATACTTGCCTCATTTGGCTGGTCTAGTTCATACATTTTTACTGAAATAATATCATGATTATCAGACAGATCCCCTGTAGTTGCCGAAAATCCAAAGTAATATCCTGTTGGTAATTTAACTCCTTTTACTTGAAAGCATTCCTTCCATGCTGCTTTATTTTCTATATCAGTTGATACTATAACAAAAGTGATGGTAGTTTAGTTTATTATATTATAAATAAATAAAACACCAATTAACCAT